GACACCTACTCTATAAGCCTTGTGGTCTTTAGAAAACTTCTATGAGACATGTTTTGTTGTTAGTATACATTGAGGTAAGACTAAAACTATTCTCAATAATATAAATACCTTTCTTGCGTTCTAGTCTTGATTAAAGTCACTTTACTTTCTTTATAATTAGAAATAGTCATTTTAGTTTTTTTAATCTTATAATTTATTTTTATTCCTTTACTTTCTCTTTTCTTTAATGATACATAAATGCATTGTCTCTTTAAAGTTTTATTGTAATTTATATCCTTAATATAGCTTTTTTTCTTTTTTCTAATACTAAAAATAAATCACGAGTTTATTACAGATTATAATCTAAAATTAATAAATAAAATATTCGACATAAATATTTTAAATTAAACATACTAAATATCAATTAATAAAAAAGCTTTATCTTAATTATTTACTATTTAAAAACTTCATATATTAAATATTTTAATTCTTTTACATAGTTTTTTTTATTTATGAATATAGTTTATTATGTGTTTTTTCTACAGCATCTATTAATATTTAATACACATAATAAAAATAATTTTATATCTCTATAAAATTTATGATAAAAAATATATCAAAAAAATAAGTAGAATAATGCTACACTTATTAGATATTTTTATTGTAAAATATATGACATAAAAATTAATATTAAATTTAAATTATCTTTAAAAATTATGTAAATGATTTTTTTTTTCCAAATGTAACAATTTAATTCTAAGAATACTGGTCAAAAAGTCATATGATTGCACCCTGATGATTTTACAATAAAGAACATCAACTATAATCATTAAAATCATATAATTAATAGGAAAAGACATGGATTGATGTTGCTTAATTTAAGCCTCCAGTAATACAGAAAAGACTCAATATTGGTGGGACGGTTTTTATTTGTACTTTTTAAGATCTAAATATCAAACCAAAAATTGTGCTAAATAGCTGTATAATTACAAAAAAAAGGTGTAATTACAAAATTTAACATATCAAAAAATAATTTTTTTCAACTATAATAGGAGTTATATAATTAGAATCAGATGCAATATTATTTTTTAAAGGTTAATTTTAATTATTCGAATATTTTTTATTATCAATTTTTTTATAGAATAAAAATATCATGTAGTTTCTACATTTTCTTATTTAATTTAAAAATATATATATTTTAAAAAAATATTTACTAAATGTTACAAAATATTGTTGATGAAAAATTATTATTAATAATTTTTCAAATATAAGTCAAAGTTACATAAATGTTTTCTTGTAAAGATATCATCTATAAAATCCTACAAATAGAAATAATTGATTGAGGTCATAAGAAATAGTACTTTTTGATAGTATTAAGGTTTTAACTAAAGATATTAATTTAAGATAATAAAGAAAATTATTGAAACTTATTTAAAATTTAATAGGCTTAAAATTTTTAAGATGAATCAAGAAAAATAAATTTATTTATTTTTCTTTATTCATCTTAAAAAATTTAAAATTTTCCTAATTTTTCTTAAATGTTATTCATTTATTTAAATTTACATCTTTAGAATAATTAAATTTCTAAAAATTATAAGAAATTGAGATTTTCTTATTTTTAATTTATTGCCTCACTTTTCTTCATGATTTTTTTAAAAAAAAAATGAAAAATAAGATAGTTTTTAAAAAAAATTATTGCAATAATTATACAATTGATCTTTAAAAAAGGAATCAACTAAAATTTGGACTATTATATACTTTATTTTAGAAAAAAATATAATTTAAAAGTTATATTTTAATAATAATTGTACAAAGATAGTTATTCAATATTTAAAATTTTAATATTTTAAATAATCGCTTATTATTCAATATATCAATCTTCTTAACAAGTAAATTATATGGATATTTATAAATTTATGTAGATTATCATAAAATTAAAAAAAAGATTAATTATTTTTAATATTTTAATTTTTTTATCAACTAAACCAAAATAAGATCTAGATAAAAATAAATTCTAAGAGAATAAAAAATTCAAAATGTGTGAAAAAAAAGAGAATTAGATGATTATATTTTGAATATGGTATAGATATTTTAAAGGTAATGTTGTGGCTTTTGGTATCTCAAATGCTCTTGAGACCTGTTAACATTTAAAGTGGTGTATTTTGTAAATTTTTAGATAAATTTATTATTTATTATCTAAAAATATTCTTCATCATTCTAATGTTTAAACAAATTTTTTATATATCACAAAAACTCAAAGATTGTATGAATATATTTTTGAAAATCTGAATTGTAGACAAATAAACCAAATGTTTTGGAATATATTATTCTAATTGACGATCCAAAGATATCTTCAATAAAGATAAAAAAATAAATTATAGATGAAATAACTTCTGTGATTGTCTGAAATATTTTACTATTTTACTATTTTATTATTTTAATAATAATTATTATGTATTTATAGAATTTTTTTACTATTTTACTATTTTACTATTTTAATCATTATTATTATGTATTTATTATAAATTTTTTATAATATTTTAAGTTTTATAATTGATTTATTGAAAAAAATATAATAAAGTATAAATTCATAATATTATTTTAAGCCCTAGAAATAATAATTTATATAATTTTTATTAATTTTTTCTATTTTATTTTTAAAAAATAAATTATAAAAATAATGGTTTGGATTTTTCATTGAGTATAGTGTTTTCTATTAATTTCTATTTAAATTAAAAAATTATAGAAAAAATTAATTATGAGATTTAAAACAAAAAAATTATTATCAATGAACTAAATTTTATATTAGAATGTATAATTATATTTTTTTCCTAAATTTTACTAAAAAATATATCAATTATTAGATATTTAATTATTTTATGTTTAAAATTACTCTGAATTTTATAAAATAGATATTTATTAAAATTTATATTTAATATTATATAAAATTTTAGAAAAATTAAATATTTCTAAGTTGAAGTATTTAAATACTTTAACCTTACATTTAAAAAGTGAAATAATAAGTATAGTTAGTAAAAAGATCCTTTCTTTAAAATCAATATAATTAGGTCTTTTATTTGTAAAGTAAAAAATTCTTTTTAATTTAGTGATTATTTTATAAAATTTACTTATAAAGAGAAACAGTTTTTTGTTTTTAATACAAAAAATGACTTTGTCATAATTTAAATATATTTTATTTAAAAAAAATATATCTTTAAATAAAATTATATAATTATAATTATATTTATATTAAAGTATAAAATTAAGTGCAATTTTATGACCTTCAAACATAATATGACTTTTCAATGTTAAGATATTCTAGATAGAAAAAAACTTTAGAGTATATATATATATATATATATATATATATGTATATTTTAAAGATTTTTCACAACCTCATAATACTCGTTTTCTTAACAAAGACTTTTAATTATCTACCATACAAAATTTTCAATTCTTGCTTATTTAAAATAAATAGTAGTCATTTATTTTAATAGATATTATTTGAACCTATTAATCTTACATTCTTAAAATAAATGTAGTAATTAATTTTCTAATTTAAATAGCACAGTTTTTTAATCTATTATTGAAACTATCATGTATTAGAAAATGATATTTTAAAAAATAATATCCATTGATATAATAAATTTTTAATCGATATTATATTTGATTAAAGATTCATATTTATATACAAGTTTTAGAAGACACTTTATAAGATCACTTTATTACAAAAATATCTTTTATTTTATTCAAGTTAATATATGTAATTTAGAGGGCTTGCTTGCTATGTGATTAATTTTTTTTGTTGTGAAGGTTTGAGGAAGAGGAAGAAGAGAAGAGAAAGAGGTGGGTCCATTATTCTAGTCCTCCCTTAGTAGAAGAGAGCAAGTACATTGCCCCCAGAGCATTGAGTATACTCTATTTAGTGGATGTTTAGAATATTTTAAGAATAGTCTTTGATAATTTTAGCTGCTCTAATGCTTAGTTTTGTAGAATTCTAATTGCATGTGCGTGTTACTTTAGATCTATATGTGTGTGTGTGTATATATATATATATATATATATATAAATGAGTTTATGTGTTTTTTCTATTTTTTCAAACACATTTAATATTTTGTGGCCTAGAACTTGATTTACTTAGATATTTAAATAGAATAATATGAAAATAATAAAAATATTATATTTATAAATATATCTTTTAATATAATTGGATAAATTTTAATTAAATTAAATTAATCATTATATTATATTAAATTTATTTTATGATATAAATTAATAAATTTAGATAAAACAATTATTTTGTATTTAAGAAATAAAGATAAAAATGATTTGAACAAAAACAGAATACCTTTGATGTAGAAGATCATTAAATAATTAATAAAAAAATTATAGGGTTTAAACTTGTGAATATAATAGAATAGATATGATAAAAAGATGTCCAAGCCTTGAGTAGTTAGCTAGCAAGTACTGGGGCTCTGTTGCTGAGGTAATTTTAAGCTTTTGACTTAAGAACAACCCTTAAAGCTCTTCTTTTTCTTCTAAAATTGGTTATAGTGACTTCTTTGGAGCATACATACATGAAAGTTTATGAAAATTTAAAATATACATAAACAGAAACAATGAAATAAAAATATAATAAAAATAAATCAGTCCCCCCCGAGGCTGTCCCCCAAACTCAGAGGAGACAAGATCCCGGATTTGACCCCATGGAGGATATTCATCCATCCATCCGTTCATCCATACATTCATCCATACATCCATCCATTGGGGTTGAATCAAGTGGGTAGTTCTACGAAGTCGCAATGACCTCACCCACTATTTAGTTGACACCGTGTGTTGCACCAAGCAGGGGGAGCACCCCCTAAATCCGCGGATGAAAAAGACGAATGATAAACGTGATGGGAAATCGAAACGTGTGATGTGACGTCACGGGCACTGTCACGCTGGCAGTGGAAGCTTCGTGGAATCGGGGCGCCGCCACGGCACAGCGCGACCGTAGAGGGGCCGTTTCGTGAGGCGTGGAATCCGAGGCCCCGCAGGGTCACATGGGCACCTCTCAGCCCATTGTCTGACGTCCTTGGCCCAGTTCCCAGTGCTTCAATGGAGTCTCATTAACTAGCAGACCACCCCCACCCTCCCCTCGCGCCGTTTTGTAATCTCACTTTACATCTGACAGAGGAAGAAAACGAAGAAAGGGAAAAAAAGAAAACACAGACACTCACAGAATATTATAGAAAACAATAAGAATAAGAATAAGAATGATTATAATCAACAGTGTTGGGATCATACACTGCGTGCTATGGAGTGGGACCTACTGATGCGCAGCGATGGCCTCGGAGATCGTAGAATGGTAACCGAATGCTGATGCGCTGGCCGTCGTGCGTTGTTGTCTTCAGATCTAACGGACCCTTCCGGTATCATCAAGTAGTGTGTTTGGCACGTTTTGGGGCTTATTTTGAAATGGGCTGCGGTTGAATTTCCTCTGGAGATGATTCTGAGAGAATGATTTTGTCTCGAAGGGGAATGTTGCAGCTCTGAAAAAACACGGAGGAGATTGATGTTCGGGTGTAAACAAACGATGGATTGGATGTTGAGTTCCAGCAACTCAAAGCAGTGCCTGGAGCCCTAACTTTGCCGCAGCTGTGCCAAGGAGATCGACTTACTTCTCAATCAGAATAATGTTGCAAAGAATGGATCTGGATATCCGTCTTGGAAAATCAATGCTGCCTGTATCACAATTTGGATTGATAGGTTACTTAATTGAATCATTGTTGGATAGTTGCAACGAAGATTAACACTTGAGACTCGGCTATGGAACGGACAAACGTTGTGCTACAAAACGTATTCACTGGTTTTCCGTCACTTGGGTTTGTGATTAAGGAGCAAAAAAACAAATACACTTGGGAAGTGTATCACCGCCGGAATGTAGTACTCGATAATCGTCATCACCGGTTGCGGCCAGAACATTCACACTTCCCAGCCCCTCCCTAGCGGATGCTGCTGATCAAAGTATCTTCCCTTCAACACATTGAAATGAACGGTTATCATAATCGGGAATGCTTGAAGCTTGCTCAACTCACACGATGACACATGCACCATGGAGAGTAAGAAGCATTGGTTTGAAGAGTCCATATGAAATGTACACGTCAAGACCACATAGACGAAGGCGAGAAACTCTTAATCCGAGTTCCTCAAACTTCAATTTGAATCTTTCGAATTTCTGGTGTTGCAAAAATAAACTCACCATGATTCGGTCTCATTTCCCCTCTACAACCTTTTTCTGGATGATGCAAAATTGTTCTTAAGAAAGAGAACATGTTGCGTTGAATTTTGCGTTTGTTTTAGTGGTGACGATTTCGCAAATGTCGATTTTGCCTCGCAACAACGTCTACGTTTGTATGCTGAGGATCCAACAAACGGCGTAACTCAAGAAATCATCTTCATGGTAAGCTCCAGAGGATCAGGACTCTTGCTCTTTGCTGTTTAAATTCACACTTTCCGGGGACAATTACTGCATCTAGGCTGAGCCTGCACATGACTTTGCACATAACTCCATTTTGAAGTTTACAATGTCTGGCTTCGCATGGCACCATATTCGTGGAACAAAACCTCGAATTAAAACCAGGTGAATTGAACTCTTGTAGTTCAATTGTGTTCTTCAATTCAATCAAACCTTTTGAATGATTTGACGACGATGCCAAGAAGGAATCTAGTGACCACACCAAAGCCCATTCAGCAACAAGGAGGGAGTTCAAGCCACGCTAAGAATTCAGCATGGAGACAAATTTAACATCATATAAAGCAAGGAATTTGCTTTTGCTGCTGCACAGTTTTTGCCGTTACGCTAACAATATTTGCGTACCGAAAAATTGGAAGATTCAAATTGCATCTTCACGGCCTGAGTAATCTCATGTTAGTTTCAAGTGGCCCTCCATTTCTTCACATAATATACAGTGTGAATCGATGTGCGGCGAGAAATTGGTATAAAATGGGTGCATGACTCTCAGACATGAACAAATAAAATAAACAAAAAGGTACACTGTGAATTCCTTGATATAACAATCGTTTCCAAATTGTGCATCATGTCGAAATCAGTTCAAAAGTGAGTTCCATTACCATTCAACCTCCAAAAACCAACTGTGGTTGGAGTGGAAACATTTTCAAGAATGTTTTCACGTAAATAGTCAAACAGAGGTCTCATCCTCAAAGTTAGAATACAAAAAGTGAGCGTCGGAGTACCATCTCCAAAAGGATACTGTCAAGGGTTGGATTTCTTATCTTGGAGTTACGACCAGCGGCGTTTCACCTCCTGCAACCACAACACACACGACGCAATAACAGTGCGCAGCGCAGGAAAGGACCAGACAATTCTTGACACGATGCTTACGTCTCCAAGTCCCAAACCTAAAGAGGTTACAGTGGTGGCCATCACCGTCTACAGTAACCCACCGATCACTGCAAAGCTACGTAACTGCCTGTCCTGCGTCCTTGTGGAACAGCCGAGCAGCCGAGCATCAGCACAGGGAGCTGAGCTGCGCAAGAACTGATCTGCTTGTCCGGTCGAGGTGATCAACAACAACAACCCATCTCTCTGCTACTGTTACCCGCCGAATTTTTCTGGGGTGCGGATCTGCACGCAGCGCACCATCGCTCTTGCGCTCCATGAGTACACGTCCTGCACGAACAGATCGCTTTGGTGTGGGACCGAGACACACTCCATCTTCTTGCACAAGGTTTCCTCTCTCAATTTCTTTCCTCTTTTTCTCCCCATTTATGTGCATGTTCGGCATGGATTGCCTGCGGATCAGTGTAGCTCCAGTTGAAGGGGGATGGAATGGGAAACACCTGGTCCTGGAGCAGGTTTCGAACTGATATCGAGTTGAGGCTCTTGCGGTGCTCGCCGATGTTCTGATCAGCAGCAGCAGCACCTGGGACCAACCTAGTAACTGGAATCCTTGTTTGTTTTGTTAATCTCCTCTTGTGCTATTCCTGCACATCTAATCGGTACTAATCCATGCCTAATTAGCAACTGCACTTGTGTCGATTAGTGATACTTTTGTTGTTCGACATCGTGGCTCCATCAAAGTTTGATGTTCGTCGCAGTCTCTCTTTCTTTAGCTAGCAATGGTTATTGATTGATGATGCATCTCTTTGTTCATGTGTATACATATATTATTATATATTTCTTTTTAAAGTAAGTGATGGAAACGCAGGTAGGCAATTTGGTGAAGATTTGGGAATACGTGGAGTTTTTATTTATTTATCTATTTGTTTATTATTAGTTGTTAGCTGTGCAATGACTTTTGTTGGTAGTGCGAAGTTTGCCAATATGAAAAAATGAGCTCATTAGTTGTGCATTTACGGTGAGGCCAAACTTGGTGATGATAGCCTCTGGAAATAAGTACAACCAGCAACTATGGAGTGGTACCTCGTGACAAGGGCACCCCATATCATTTGCAAACATGATGCTTTCTGAAATTAAGTAGATGTTCGTGTGGATTTAGGTAAATACAAAGTTATCAAACTATCATATTCACTGTGATATAAATTATTTATATCTTTGATAAATAATATCATGGTCACTGTGATGGTTTTAATTTAACTTTTAAAATAAATGATTGTGATCTTTTCAATCAATGTGTGTTAATTTATAAACAGATAAATCTAAACCATATTCATAAAAAATTATATATTGGAAATGAATGTAATCAAGGGAAAATTTATTGGCATAGGCACTAGGAATGAATTACCAGTTTTTTAATATACATAGTAACAATAAGTTATACAATTTGAAGTAATAATTAGATTAATTAGAATTCTATGAATATTTTAAGATTTTGATATTGATCAGCAATTGTAAACAGATAAACTATTGAATAAACCAACTTTATTAGATGGTAAATTTGATTAAAGTTTTCCTACCATAATATTTAAGATTTGAGTCTTTAGTTTTTTAACTATAAAAGTTATATGTGTTAAAAGAATGGAGAATATATTATAATATTGATTTAAATATTTCGGTATAGTCTATGACATTAGTTTATTGAATAGAAAATTATAATCAACAAAGCAAAGACCATGAATATTATAAAAGCATGAATGTATACCAAAGCATGCAAAAGGTAGCCTAAAGGTTTGAAACAAAGATAGTTTAAAGGTGCTAAAAAAAAAACATAGATGTACTCAGAAATATTACACAAAGTACAAATCAACATAGCAACAATAAAGACTACTAAATTATAATAAATTTTGGCAAAGAGTAGTAAAACATGAAAATTCATGCTAAAATTGTATTAAAAAGATTTAAAGATTATTTACAAAATTATTTGTCAAATCAACTATGTTTTGACTAAGAGAATCAAAAAATAGACATACTATTAAAAAAATGTATTAAAGTCTACAAAATCAAGAATAAACATTTACATAATATAGAGTTTTAAGATCAAGATTACTTTATTACAATAAGGTTTTTACAGATTATAGAAATAAAAAATATATTTTTAACTTCTCTTTTCTTGCAATACTTACAAATATATGAACTTTTGATATAAGTAACATGACTAATACTAATAAAACTACTTAATGTGTGTGTGTGTGTGTTGTTTTGTTTTTGTTTTTGTTTTTGCTGAAAGTTTTTTTTAAATAGAAATATGATCAAAAAAAAAAAAAAAAAAAACAAACAAACAACATCGACAACATCAACAACATCAACAACCAAGACTGATAGTTTTATTATTATTAAGAAATTACATTTTATAAATTTAAGTTAAGAAATCAAAATATAAGCCAACTATTTGAGATAGAAAGCATTATTTGACAAAAACTTTATTCAGAAGTGACTTAATTTTTCATCTTCATTTGAAAGAAAAATTGAAAGAAGTGTTTTCAAGATGTTAATATGCTATTGTGATTTTTTATACAGGTTTTATTCTTAAATAATCTTTTTTGGAATGAAATTTTTTATAAAAAAACTAAATTTTAATTTTTTGAAAATTTAAGAAATTTGTTTGTAAGGACTAGATTGGTAGGAATAATATATAAAATTGGGATAAAGGTTGAAAAAAGTAACATGTATACAATTGAATCATTTAAAGACTATGTTTCAAAAACAAAATACATATTAAGAGTAAATTTATGATTCTAAATATGTTTCGAATTGTGATTAAATCTTATGTAGAATATTACTACCTACAAAGTATTATTCAACTGCAAAGAATTATTCAACTAATTATAATCTTCAAATCTTCTACAAAGTTGAAGTATGTGACATTCAAACAAATCATATTCATCTACTATTCTAATGACCAAGTTTATTGGTACCTTCCACATGCCATTCAATTCAATTGTGAAAATCAATATCAATACACCTGTTATAAGTGGGGTTCTCGATATATAACATCCTAAGTTTAGAGTGTAGGAAAGTTTCCATTCTTTTACCTCTTGCAAACAAGGTCTTTTCACCATTCTATTGATTTCAGTGCTAACAGCAGCAAGAGGGAAATCTGACCTTCAATTCTCGGTCGAGAAGTTCACGTCTAAGCTCAGTCATGTGGATAAAACCCAAGATATCTCATTTAACGTTCAACATGAGAGTCTGTAGCAGTACAGCCTGGATCCTGTGTTGCTCTGTAGTCAAGTCAATTTTGCAACACCTGAGCTGGAGAGAACTTATGCTTGTTTGAATGACCCTCCCTTTATTGCTCCCTAAAGATCTGCCCACACATTCCACATGACACTGTGAGTGGTGAATGAAGCATGATTGTACCAAAAGACGATGGGTTCTTTATGGAGTGTCCCTTGAACCGGGCCAGAGAACTACATCCACCCCAATCCTGTCTAAATGGTGCTAACTGACTAGCCATCAACGTTGCGAGACACATCTCTCAAACAATCACCGATTTCTGATGAAAACAGTGAGAAAGCCCAGAGCTGTAAAAAAATATATCTATGTGAAGAACCAAGAAGGAGAATTTGCAAAACCTTCTTTTACAGCATGAAATGTGGTTCCACAGGTGCTACACCAGTACTTGGACTAGAATTGGCTACTATCTAAATAAAGTCGGTTCTCAACCATTTACAAAACTTATGTTCAGTGATCCAATGGCTCTTGAAAGAGTCAAGTCTTCAGGCTCACAGGAACATCGTGTTTACCAGCAACCTGCTCATTAAACAACCGATATTAGTAAAACCATGGAAGAAAATGAAATTCAAGAAACTCTCATCAATCGTGCCGTCAAATCCAGAACAAGTTGACCTTCAAGCCCACTTCTATAGTGCACTAGACGCTTCATTCACCAATTGCTTTCAATTCCTGCCAAGTTTTAGCACTCTCTTCCGGGTACTTTTGCAACGCCAGTGGCTAACAATTAAAAACCCGATATATGCTATAAAACATTCGCGTGAGACAGCACTGCACAGGAACGCTGAGACACTTCATACATCATGTGCTCACCCCAAACTATGCTAAATCTAGACCAACACATTAGTGCAGCATTTACGTTGAGATCGACACTACAGGTAAGAGACCAATACCAGTAGCAAGCTGCCAGTGCTCCGTCAGGCACTGCAGGCGTTTCAGCAGTCATCTCCATCCATTTGAAAAGGCCATCCAGCCATCTTGATACTCTTAGCAGCAAATGCATAAATAGTTGAAGTTTTGAGACCTTTCATGTGACACGATTATGTCAGACGTCGTCTTCAGCCTCAAGCTTCATTCATTAAAGATATTCTAGAAAACTTTGGAAGATTGCTTCTTCCGAAGTTAATGATCCTTGGTCACTTGAGGGGTGATAGAATAACTAACTCCGAACGGCAGATTGTAAGAAAATCTCCATATCCTAAGTCTGCTGAGGGCGTTCGAGGGATGCTGCCGAGACTGATATTGGAACTAGTGGGCCTTCACCCCACTATTTGGGGCTATGTCTTCTGACAAATATTCTCTTTTTCAAAGAATCTTTAATACTAATTCCTCGACTAGGAAAATTATTTTTATTCTTGATTGCATTTTTCTCCCAGGTAAGTTTCATCCCCCCTTCTAACGTACCAGCTGGTACACCATAATGAGAAAGGTTGACCTTGAAATGCGCCACCTCTAAGGCACCCTTCTTGAAGCAGGCCACAGCCTGATTCAAGGGAATGACTCCAAAGCCTAGTGCTTCTTCATCTGAATCATGGTCAAGAACACGTACCAATAGGTACTCCTTGTCCACTCGTTGCAGAGGAAAAGTGCTCAAAACTAATGTAGGCAGTTCCTGAAAAGGATTCCAAACAGGATTCAAAGTCTGGTGTTTCACTTTTGAGTGAAATTCTTGTAGCAAATTGGGGCCCACAAACGAGACAAATGGGTCTGAGAATCCATTTATGTCAGAAGCACGCAATTTCTTAGCTCGCAGAGAAGTGAACCGTATATGCCACCTGAAAGTGTATACCAGTTAAGAAATCAGCAACCTGGTCTAAATCCCGATTAATACAGCTTTAAGTTCCAAAAGAGTTGCTGACATAAGTTAAAATGAGCTGCAGATGAACATCTTCAAAAATTACTTCTTATAAAAACAACAAATTGTTGAATACCAAATCACAGATATATGTCCTGCACATCAAAAATTAAACATCCTCTTCTTGACATGCCTGCAAGTTGGATGCAAACAAATCACCTATAAAAGGACCTATGAACTGGAAAAAATTAGTTAAGGTGTTAACTGCTATTTCAGCAGTTTAATATGATAATGAATTTCCAGTATCACACCCAACTAATGCAGGCACTAGTGCTGAATACTGTGTGTCAAAATATCAATTCAGTGCGTAAATAACTAGAGAAATTAATGAAAAGCAACAGTATAACTTTGTCAGTGAAAGCCACCTACCTTTTATCATCCTCATCAGTGTCATCAGAAATCAACGTCGATGACGGTAATGCATATGACGTCAATTTGTATGTTGCTCCTACTGGTTTGTGATCACTGGTGAGGATGTTGGGTGCAGAAAAATACGAAATAAGATATGAATGGCATCCTTGTAAGGTTTTCCACAAGACACGATCGCACCATGCTGGCAACCGTTTTTGATCGTAATGATCTAAGTAATCCCTCTGCATTTTAAAAGTAGGGGGAAATGTTATTTCTCCTTCCTTGAAACCCGCTAGTATACGAGAGGCTCCTTTCTCCTTCCGTAGCTCATCATACTTAAGGAGATCTTTCCACCTGTTGGCATGAATTTGCTTCACGATTGTAGCCCAGAACGTCCGATCAGGAGTCAGTCCTTGAGGTTCTATATTCCCGAAGTCCAACCTATAATTCAGGTCTCCGAGCCAGAATACATGGTGAAACTGACTGAGTAAGTCCATACTTTGTAAGCCAACCCGCATGGACATTGCAATCTGTCTAAAATTGCTGTTGCGTGTCTCACACTGCCCAACATGAGCAGCTAAATGGCAGTTCACGAAACACAAACCTGTGTCCCAGAACTTAAGCGATATGCAAACACCTCCCTTGTTGGCCATAACATTGCCTACTCCTGTCGCCTCACTGTCACTATCTACTTCAGAAATTGCCTTTTCGGCATCCTCTCGAACAAGGACCACAAGTCGCATCTGCCCGCGTGATATTGCATGAACAAGCTTATAGCGCTCACCAAAGTGCGACTTCAGCGTGTGGGTCCAATCCTTACTGCATTCGGTGAATGGAGCACGAGGTGGATAATCACATTCCTGAGTGCCAACGGCAACGATCTCAAAAAAGGCATCGGTAGGTAACCAGGGAGACAGATCCGCAGGAGGGCGAGCATTTCCCACATTCCAGGTGCCCACAAATGCTGAAATAGTCTGCTCTGGCTCTGCCATACCAACAACGATCTGCATGTAGAGCTTTCCAGGCATGATCCTACTGCCGCTTTTGGAATAGAGATCGTACCACTTAGCTTCCACATCCTTTCGGCCATCTTGCTCCTGGTAATGTAGGTTTCAACGTAAACATTAACAAACCTTTTCTTCGAAGCGAAAAAGATTAGTAAGGGAAAAGCTGACTTCTTGACCACAAAATCTATTCAGGTGTGTAAGAGATTAAACAAATCCAGAGGCCATCAGGTTTCTCGAGCTACAGTCTTGCCACGAAGACCCCCTATTTGGTTTCTTGAGCAAAATGGCTACAGATAGACAGTTGAAAAGAAGAAATTGAGAAATACAGGAGAGAACCCAATTCCTACCTCAAGCAAGTTAAGCACATACAAGGGATTGATGTGTCCAAGAGCTTCTTCAATACCGAGCACCCCTCTTGCCACAACTTGAAGTGTGATTTGAGCGCTCTTCAACTCCCTAACATCAAATGTAAAACTCTGGTTCACATCAAGAGTCCCGTCCTGCAAGCAAATTAACCAGAATTAACCGGTGTTTAAGATTCGAACTTCCCTGTAGGTAGTCATTGTGCGCGAGGAGCAATGCGCAGTGAATTACAAATTGCTGACAATATGCACAAGAAACTCACCAAGTGAATTGATCTCATCGTTAACACTTAAAATTTTACTAGAACATTACACACGTCTTCTGTTGACAAGCAATTGACTTGGTTTATTCTTAAACTAGACTTTCAAGCAGTAGATATTGTGTACTAACTAAAAGATCCATTAATACCTGATGAACACCAGTCCTAATGTCTTTTGATTTTTTCAAGGTTTGTTCTACTCGCACTTTGAGAACAGGGTCCCTTGCGTCAGGCCCAGGTGTAGTTCTCTTCAAATCTTTTGCAGCAATTATAGTCACTGTCACCCGGCACGCCCTATCCGTGTTTGTGACATGGGAGCCATTGGATCCTGAAGCTATATTCTCTAGATCAAAAGTACGACCGTTGCCCCCTCCTGCATGAGATGACTTTTGTATCCTGCTCCTACGATGTTCTAGTTTCTTCCAAACACCAACTCTGGAGGAACCCGTTTGTGAAATTCCTTCGAGTTTCGAAACACCTCCCTCCGCGTGTGTGGGCGAACTCTCGCCATCATTCGAAAGAGTAGATTCTTCCATTTTTCAACGTTGAACCCGAATCACATGCGTCTGAGCAGAAAGTTGGTGAAATGAAAATTGGACATTCTCTTAATTGTCATATAGGACAATCCAACGACCAGTGCGAGTGGTTCAAGAAGTGAAAAGCATGACACTTGATCGATGCAGATGATCTGATTTTCCTCTTGATAAATTTCGCACAAGCTGTCCTTTCATTGCAACGAATCAACAACCTGACGCATGATTAAAAATAATTCGATAAACCAAACAAGTGACTACTCCTAACCACGGGAACGACGACATAATCAATACTTAGTCAGCCTTATCCTTCCGAAGCCAAAATACATGATCAGAAATAAATCTCTGAACGAAGACAACCTATCCAGTAAAATGTACACCAACATCTCCTAATATCTGAAAATCTGAAACGTATTGAAAAGATAACAGCTCAAGCAAGCTTCACTATTCCCAGTGACAGTTCAAAACGAACCGACTTAGTAAAATTATGAAAACAAAACAAGAGCCATTCACGCCATGCCCTCAAGTATCATGAACGCAAATCTGAAATCCTCCAAAGTCCTACTTGCGAACATTACTCGCAGAGAATGAAGACTGATAGTAATAAAAATAAAAAAACTGCTGCCACGAATAGTTTTCACATGATTGTGCTAAAAGAAACATCAAAACTCTAGTGAGAGGGACTTATCGGAAGTTAGAAGAATTGGTAAGATGAATACCTGACACTAGCTCAGGGAGAGGATAATATCGCCATTACGCTAGAAAAGTTGCCGTAATCCCATAATGGAAGTAATACAAGCGAGCACAAAACTTTCTCAAGGAAAGACAACAATCAACACGACAGAAGAGTGAGATCTCGCTCTCACACCAAGAGTAAACACTTCAAAAGACTCCTGCGCTACTAAGTCACTGATCCTAAACTTCGTGCGACGACTCCATGCCTCCAGTCTGACTCTAAAGAAGAGTGTGACCTCTGACACACCATACCCTCATTACTACGCAATTAACTGCTACTGGTCAAACCCTCTGACGAAAACCTACATCATATCTTAACTTCCCACACACTCCCCATTTCAGTAAATCTCTTGCCGACAAATCCCACTCGACAGATCCCTTCGACGTCATCGCAGCTCCCGAGAAACGATTGAGACAAATTCCCGTTGCCCTAAAAACCCACAAATCCATGCGACCCGGTAGTAGTCTCGCTCCATTCTACCACACTAATTCGATCTCCATTCAAGCTCACAAGACAAGAAGCATCTGCTCCTGCCAAATCCGAAAGGGGCTTGAGAAACGCAATCCCTCCGCCTAGACGCCATAGAGCACCATTTTGGCTCGCATTAGGCTAAAAAGAACGGCATTGCGAGGGAGACAAGCAAGGGCAGCAGACATAGAGCTATGGGTTGATAGAGACAGTGAATTACTCGGGTTGAGCGAACTTATGACGATCCTGAGCAGCACAAACACACTATCGCTCAGGCTCTCGCTCTCGAGGACGCCACTCCCCCTCTACAACTGCCATGCTTGGCTGGGGTGCGGTAGTCGTAGTTAGTATAATTATACGTCTTTACTCTGTATAGTATTCTATACTTTCTTCATCCGTGGATGGATGATGTTCGATAATAGGTGGAGCCGGGGTTCTGATAACGATGACGTAGAAATCCTTTCAAGGATTAGTTTTTTAAGAAATACACACTAAGACCGATCCAAGCTTTATTGGTCTTTTAGGCTTTGAGAGTTTAAAAGGGTTGGAATATAAAGAGAGCCAAGGTGGTGACTAATTACTTTTCAATGCCTTGAGTATAAAAATTTCATATCATTTATGTGTTTGTCTTATGGGTATGCTTTATCTACCATTAAAATGCTTATCAATATGATACTACATGTTTTGGTGTTTTTTAGAGGTGAATGAATTTTTGGTTCCTATATGTAAAGTACCATAGTTGAATGCAGGTTTTATTTTTGTTTTTTGATTTTTGTTTTTTTTCTTTTTGAAGCTAATTTAATGAATAAATTCGGTCATTTTGAGGCATTCAAAATGATAAGATTTGGAAATCATACAATACTCATGTAGTGCAATTGCTACAAGAAAAGAAAATAAGGAAAATTAAGAAAACCAGGATATATTCTAAAAGCAAGTACTTATTTGTAAATTTTAGAAATTAAAATTCTATAAAAATGTAACAGTAAATATATTTTTGTAAACTAAGTCTCCACTAGCATATGAATATGTTTGTGTTGATATATATATATGGTCATGAATATATCACAGATTTACAGTAAAAATTGGATCTTATTCAATTTCATATTTTCATTAGTAAATCTAAGGGTTAATTAATATAACTTATATTTCCTTTGTATTTTTAAGTTTATTTTTGAATTGGAAAATATCAAGGTAATTATAATTTTGGAAAATCAACATTTTATAGAGTACATAAATTATATATATCTTTTTCAATTGAACATTGGAAAATTAAAAATTAAAAAGCTTATGTATTCAAATAAGATGCATGAAACTAATGAGATTGTTTTTTATTAAAACAAAAAAAAGTCATGGCTTCTTTGATAAGAAGAGAATTTATATATATATATATATATATATATATATATATACAAGAATGTTAAATAGACCAATTTTTTTACTAAATAAATCCACCCATTCTAACCATCATGAGAAGAAGAAAAAAAAAAAAAAAAAAAATGACATTCAGATTCATTTCTCCACTATTAGATTTACGATTAATAAAAACCAACTACATTCATCATGATTACCATATTCTTCATCAAAGGCAGGTCTATTTAGTAAAAGCATGGATCTATTTAACATTCTCCTATGTATATCTACATATCAGGAACTGTATATAAATAAAGAAAAAAATAATAATAAAAATAAAAAATTGGCAATTTTGTGCCTTAAATGGTTTAATAGGATTACACAAAGTATGCTGCCTTTTACATATTTTCATAAAACGAATATAGAAAATAATAAAAATTTCAAAAGAGTATGACTATTACAATTAAAGAAACCCTACTATCTTAATCTGATTTTAAATAAATATATATACACATATTTATGCAAGAAATTGTTGTTTTTAAATATTTTTTAAAAAAATAGATGTAAAAATACAATGACATAATGAGCTTTTGTTTATTCATGTATCAATATCTTAAAGGAAAATGTTTAATCTCGCTTAATGTGATCCTGGAATGACATCCACTGTACCAAGACCATACTTGCGAAGTCTCGCTTACAAGCATTTGAAATGTACATTTCGTGCTTTATTACTCGAAGCATGTCTCTACACCAATACCCAATACGGCAAAAAAGAAAAAAACTTACCCCAAATCATAAATCTGCAATTCCAAGTCATGTTAACCTATCGTCATCTCCAAACCTAATCATGATATGAGTCGATCAAGGGTGCTCCCTACAACAACTGTGATTCATGGCCCACAAACAAAAGGGTCAACAACCTTAAAATATGCTACAATGTTGGAAACAATTTGAAGGAGAGAATTTCAGGAGAAATCTTTTACATCGGAATGTAAGATTTCTACATTGAAATGGTCATCTCCGATTGAAGAATAGATTAAAAAAAGGGATTTCGAAGGTTGTCAAACTAAGTGTTCTGTCTCCTCCTCATGTAAACTCGAGCTTCGCAACTGCCAAAACTCCAACTTTGCGATGGCATCCATAATCAGTGGTCGGGCATTCTCATGTTTCGCAAACATCTGAGATAATTGATTGGCATGCACGGTAGATTTCAAGACATGAACAATATTCGCTCTTGATAACGGTTCACTATCAGGAACATTCAAAGAAAGGTAACAAAGCAGTTCAATCGCAGAGAGTTGTGATTCTGAGTATCCAAAGTTCAATGCCAACAAGACCAAGTGGTCCACTGCTCCTTCTTGAATGATGTTCTTGGAGTGCTCCAAGTGCAAATAATTTTCATCACTTGCAAACTTCGACAGAGAAGAGGCCGCTTCCGTGGCAACTTGAATAATTTCCGGATTTTGGTTGGCTAACGCTGATGTCAACGCCTTGATTGGAAGCTCGGCTGGCGCAGGAAAAATTCGAGCCAGACTACCTATCGCTTTACAACATGCCACCTGACAACCATCCACAACTGACATCAGAATGCGAATATCATTATTAACAAATTAACAGATGACTCGGAAACACTAAATACACCACATATACCAATGTGCTGTAGATTAAGGGGAGATAGTAAAACTTTGCAGCAGAAAATCTGCTTGAGCTGCAACATTAAGGTTCTTTTTTTCAAGCAACTTTGCACAACTATATACAAGTTTACATTAAATCGATATAGAAGAAATTCCAGACATCCAAGAAGTGTCAGAACAGCATACCTGAAGTACAAGATCTCCGTCTTCGTTTGTTATCTCTTTTAAAAGCTGTTCAACTACAGCTCTAGCTGATGGCGAGTTGGTCTTGAACGCAGCCCGACGAAGCTCAGGGTCTAGCTCCGCGGCAGCTGCGATTTCAACAACAGCCATAACAGAATTATATTTGAGCTTCCCTTCAGTATTTTTCATGAGCTTTGCGAAGCATAAAAGTGCACATGTGTCCGTGATGAGCTTGCAATTTTTTATGTTTCCTGCTGCGAGTTTCCAGAGTGCATGGGCAGCTTCCACCTTCATTCCCAGCTTGAGCTCGGGGTCCTCTGAATCTCGAGGCACTCGGCTGGCTTGTCGCAAAGGGTTAATCAACATAGCACTGGAAGTAGGGTTTTCTGTGATTGTGGGTGGGGCAGTGCTTCTCATACGAGCCATCACTGAAGAGACTGCCATTGCTACAGGCTGTACGTGAATATCAGGCTGAGGGTTATTTCCCTTACCACCGGTACTCCTCAGCTGGTTCATATTTGTCCTTACAATTGAATGAATGCTTGCTGGGCCATCTGTACTCTCTGATGTATTGGTCTGGTGGGCAAGAATGGCCACCAATAATCTTATAACGCCTTGAGTAGCAAGCTCGCCCTGTGCTTCCTCATCCAGGGCAGCAAACTTTGCAACTACTTGTGTGACTTTCAACTGTGTTTGCCAGACAAGGACGCATTGCATAAGTTTCTTTCATGGCAGAATGTTTTTCTTACTCACTTAACCACATCCTTGAGCATGGGGCATGAGCACAATTCACCGGTGGCTACGATTCTTTTCCACACGAGAAAATTTGACACAAAAAGGGAGCCGACTGTTACCTGAACTTTCACAGATGTTGAATGGCCCCCCAAAATGTGCGCAAAGATACCGATAGCTCCCTCTTCACGTATTTGCCGAACTTGTTCCTTATTCCCCGCCAAAAAACCCAAGGTTGTGGCAGCTGCCTCTTGGCCAGGAATTGCCCCCTCTTTAAGCAGCCGCAGCAACGGCGCCACCCCTCCTTCCTCAATTATAATCTTCACGTTTCGTTCGTTGAGCTTAGCCAAGTTTGCTAAATACTCTGCCCCATCAGCCTTCTCCTCTACATCTCCTACATGCACAATAGATACTTGCTCCCACACAAGTGCCAGCATGGGATCGGTGGATGCGATAGGCGGCAGTCCTGCAAACGAAGAGCGCTCGTCCCCGCTGGAGGAAATGTTAAGCAGCCAAGTGATATCTCCTATTGAGCTCTCTAAAACGTAATTTACTTTCTTAAAGTCCGCGGTGGTGGTGATGGTCATGACCCTTCTGAGCATCCCGCCCCTCTTACACTTCTTCACCAGTCCAAGGGTTCGTTCTAACGCCTTCATCACTTCCAGCATGATTCGCCGCGTTGGCCGCTCATACAGCCCTACTTTCCGAGCAGCTTTCCGTAACAAAACTATCAACTTCTCTACTTTGTTGCCAAGATCCGCACACTCCTGTTTGAAAGAATCAGCTTCATCCACCCCTTTGCGTATCAGATCCGCAACCTGTAACGGAAATGCAAAAAGATGCTCCATGCTAAGGTCCATCAGGTGGGCTACGTACAATTCTATATCACCCTCCATTTTGTCCACAGATCCTTTTCCTCCGGCTGTCTATTTTTTGCACTACTAGACACCTCGAATTCTGCAGGTGGCTTCAGACACGCCCGATCTTGAAAAAAATCTAAGAGTCCAGCATTCTCCCGTTGTATTTCGGCTTGGAACTAGCTGCTCCACTACGAAAATCCGTGATCATCCTGCGAACGATTAAACTCCGTTTTCTTCTGAGGGCCGTGACGCACGGTCTGCACTCTACAGTGTCCTCAATGGGGGGTGCTAAAACTAAACAACATGTAACCCGCAACCAAGGAAATGTTGTCCAAAGCATGTTCAAGAACGTATAAGAAGCTTACACCGGCATCGGCAGCCGCAAATTCCATGACCCCTTATTTACATTCGATCACCGTTACGTAGCCCTTGGGGTCTAACAGTGGCTACATTTTAACCGTTCATGAACCAGATGGCTTCCTGACGCACTCACTTCCGAGTGATTCCACCCAATTACTGAGTAGACGAACCACGCACTTCGAACGCTAGATATGCAGTCACAGCGGCCCACAAACGGTGAACTTGGCCTCTTGGCCAGAACCTTCAAAACCCCCAAGCGCGCAGACCAAACCATTTACTAAAACGTAAACTACAAGCGAGACACCGAACCCGAGAAGACCGCATGAGAGCGTATGAGGCAGGCAGAAAGGACCCAACGATCCTCCGTAACACAGAAGCTGAAAGAGAAGTCCATTCGGGAATTGTCACGCGCCAGTGTCCAAAACCCCATTCCCAAACTCAACTGCAGCCAGTGCACACCGATTCACCCCGCCCAAAATCCCCAAAAGACGGATTACTCCCTCGAAAAAAGATGCTCCACGACCGACCCACCCCAGGTCCTCACCAAATTAAGCCGCATTAAACACCCCGCCCCAGATACCAGGTTCACTTATGCTGGTCTCACTCGAATACCGACAACGATGACACAGAATACAAAAAAAATTCTAGGATTGAGGGAATTGAAACGACACGACGAACGCAAGCCGCCGCTCCGGGTACAGACGACCATCGTAGGAGCTGATGGAGGGGATGAAAACACGCGACGACGATGGTGATGATGCACATGGAGATGCGCCAAAGACGGCCCAGTGGGCGAGACGCGTACGTGCTTCTTTGCGTGTCCCGGTCGCCGCTGCAGCCGTCACGCGCGAGTTGATAGAGCAGCACTCTTGTGCTTCCGTCTGCTGGACGGGGCACTTCACTCACGTGGAAGGGTGGTTCCCAATGTCCTCTAGCTTCGGGTGAAGATTCGGATTCTCATCTAACCGACTCAATAGCCTTGGATTAAGGTTCGGATCCTCACCTAACCTTGTGTTCAAGCTGTGAAAAGACCGTCTGGGACCCCACCTACCTTCCAATCCCCATGGCCCCACCCGGCCCGCGATGCTGTGCAAGGATCATCCTGACGCGGGCGGGCGTGGATTAAAAGTGTGGGACTCTGCACTCGCGATGCTTGGGTGTAAATTACCCCGCCTTTGCCGCTCTTGACCACTGCCCCGCGTCGACTGCGATTCGGAGTTGCCTTTCAGCGTTCCGACGATCGATGGGTGCCGCTGCTCCTTGCCTCGACGGCTCCAAAACTCACTTGGACCTCTGAATTTGTGGTAGCTAAATCCATGATTAGTGAGACAAATGTTAACCTGTCGGTGGCCAATTTTTCCAATCCTTCTTGAAATTCCATGAACCGAAGTGGAATTTATGACTTCCAAATTACTCATATAAATCAATAATTCTTTTTAATTTTAGATGAAGCATTCATTACTGGTGAGAATGAGTTTATTCAAGACCTGGTTTACAAGTACTTCATTGTTTATGTTCACTTTGTAGAAAAATAGCATCATTAAGCGACTTTTATGGTAGTTTGTAATATGTATCACATGTATTTATATGTCATCAAAAAAAAGTAATTTCATCAAAATTAAAGAGGGTTTAAATTAGGCTTCACCTTTTAAAGTGAAAAAACATGACAAATATTATTTGAGATTTTTTTAATGTGATAGATTTATCTTGAATTTTTTTTCAATGTCTATCAATTACAAAATTGCAATTAAAGTTTAAAAAGATAATTTATTTTTTAAAAATGCAATAAGTTTATATAGAAAAATCTCTTAAATAAAGTATGAGGAAATTTAATAAAACCTAAACATTGAGTTAGGTTTCTTGTGAATAACATAGATAGAAGAAGAAGAATCATTAAATATATTGATAGCTTAAAAAATTGTCGAACAAGTTGGCCATGTGTTACACATGTTAGTAACTTATAATGTAAGTTGTTCATGTGGCATACATATAGGAAACTTCTTTTGCAAGATAGATATGTATTTTGTAAGTTTGACATGTGACAAAGGTCCTATAGAATGTTGTTAGGTAGCTCTTTATTAGATAGTATATATGGAAGCAAAAATAAAGCCTTCTTCACTCTTGTTAACATTTTTTGTCTTTTTCTTAGTCTTATTATTAGAATCTCTAGACTTCTTGTTTTTAGCAATAGCCATTCAAGTTTTAATATTATATTATTTTTGAATGAATATATACTCTTATCATATATATATATATATATATATATATATATCTATTGTAAATGTTATCTAGGTAATATGAATAGATAGAAGTAAATAAAAATAAATTAAGTTCATAATACATTCTAAAAAAACTCTTTAGAAGCTTCTTAAAAGCTTTTTAGAATTTATTTTGACTTTATATGTGTGTGTAGTTGATTAATAGGTTAGAAACTTGGTCAATAAGCTAACCACGTGCCACATGCTTTGGTAGCTTATGAAATAAGCTAAATATGTAATGCCCATATAAAAAACTTGCTTTGCAAGTTAAGATACCTGTCATGCAAAATCAACATATTTTTGGAGGTTCTATAGAATGTCGTTATATAGATCTCAGATAGATAGTATATATAGAGACAAGAATGAAGTTTTTTTTTTATTCTTCTCAACTCCTTTCTTGCTTCTAGTCTATTTTTAAGAGTTTCTAGTTTCCTTGTCTTTTGGCAATAGCCATTCCAGTTTCTTTTTTGAATATACATACTTCTCTATTTTTATTTTGTCATATTTTTTTGAAAAAGCCTCATTTGTTTATTTGCTTTTATCAAGTTCTTGTCCTTGACAACTCTTTTCTAATAATACAAGAATATATTGAAATTTTTAATGTTTGTGATTCATATTCTTGATAGTTTATTAAAGATGCTATTTTATTTATTTATTTATTTTTATTTTTTTAGAAATGAGTGGATTATTTTATTTCCATTATTTATCTTAAAGGTTGTAGACTATCTACCTTTAAACTAATATTTTTTTATTTTCTAACATTGATTTTTTGACTTAAAAAGAATGAATTATCATTTTTTGTAAAAAAATTCATTTGATATTAAAGATTCCAAATTATTCTCTTCTAGTTTGATATGTGGATTTACTGAAGTTTTTTGTTGTAGAAATAAATAAAAAAAAAGATTATATATGCAACACTTAATAGAAGTAATAATAGATTTATAACTATTGTGGATCTTTGTAAATTTATGAAGAGTTTTAGAATGGAGTTTTCATATAATATTAATATCAACCATCAAAATTTTATTTGCATGCTTATAGAAGAAATCAACAACAAAGTCCAATATCTATATTAAGAAGTTGTGTAATTGAAAGAAGTAAGTAGACCAACCTTATAAATAAATCCAAAAAACTTATTATTATAAGTATAAAGGAGGTGAAAATAGATATATTAAAGTATTTTGATAAAATAAGATCAAAATTTTGAAGATTTTTACAAGTCAGGCTTTATCTAAGGTTATATCTTTTCCAATATATTGATGGATTTACTCAAGTTTGATTTATGTGTGTACTATTTTCTAAAAGTGATCTTTCTTGGTTTTTATTTTTGATAGAATTTTTTTTCTTCATATATGATATAAATTTATTTTTAGAATTATTTACAACTATATTTGGAGAAAAAAATTAAAAATCATAACAAAGATAAAACTCCTATTTTTACAATAAGGATCACAATCACCTATCATTTATACTATCAAATTCCAAAATTTGGCATATAACATGAATTGAACAATAAAGCCTTTATCAATAAATTCTAATATGGATTAAAATATAATATTAAATATTTATTATTAATAATGCCAAAAGTAGATTTATATAGATTAAAATAATTTAATGCTCAAGCTATTGCTTATGTTAATTGATTTTTTTGAAGATGCCAAAAATAAAGATTTAGTTGAAAAAAAAAATCAAATCACAATAATAATTCTTAAATTTTTAGAAATTTATTTATAAAGACAAAAATTTATGTAAATTGACACGATAGATTATAAACTTCTTATTAACTAAGAAAAGACTTGACATTGTTAAAAAAAAATATTCTACTTATATTATAAAAAATCTAAATACACTGCTTAATATTATTCAAAGAAATAATGTAATTATAATATAAAAAGCATGATTTAAAAAAAAAATAATGTATTAAAAAAAATTCAATTACAATAGGAACAATGCAACTTGAATATTGTACTATACTTAAGAAAGGACTTATTCTCGCTTCAAAACTCTTATCTTGTTTTATAATAGATGTTTGTTTTTAACCTTAAAATCAAAAAGTCTATATTTTTTTAGGTTTAAGGCCTCAACTTATGTTTTAGACAAAAAAATTGTTAAAAAATATAAAATATCTTTGATAGAAAAAACCAAGCGAATGTATGTAAAAGTCATAGATGATTATTCTTTATCTTTTTGAAATATTAGCAATGAAACTTTTTTTTTAGAAATAACAAAAATGGTCATAATAGCTTAGTAATATTTAATATTATTAGATTTTTTTTTAATTTAGTCATTTTAGATTTATTATGGCTAAATAAATATAATCCTAAAATAGATCAAATTTCTTATAATATTAACTTTTTCTACTAGTGTGATTGTTGCTAATCAAGTAAAAAATCATAGTCCTAGTATAATCAAATTATTATTTGTAGGAGCGAGAGATTTTATACATGTTTCAAAATAAATTTTATCTTTTATTATTTATGCTACGTCCATTTTTAATGACATGAAACCTTCAAATGACATTCTAAGCTAATATTAAGATTATCAAGATGTTTTTGGAAAGAAAAATGTGAATATTTTTCTAGAGCATTGTATTTATGATTGCTTAATTAATCTTCAAAAAGAAGCTAAACCACGATTTGGACCATTTTACAACTTATTACAAAACAAGTTAGTTACACTTAAGGAGTAAATTAATGAAAAATTGGTCAAGAACTTCATGCACCATTCAAAATCTTCAATAAGAGCTTTTATCTTGTTTATGAATAAAAAAAAGACAAATTATTATAGATGTATGTAGATTATTGAAGATTTAACAAGATTTCTATCAAGAATAGGTATATTCTATCTTTAATATTTAAACTTGTTGATCAATTAAATCAAGAAAAGATCTATACAAAAATAGATCTATAAAGATGATATAATTTGGTATGCATCAAGGAGGAGATGAATAGAAGATTGTATTTCAAATTAAGTATAGATATTTTGAATATAATATTATACTTTTTGGATTCATAAATATGTCACTTGATTTTTAAAAATTGGTATTATATTGTTACAAATAGGAGCATATAAAAAACTTCACAATGTAGCTTTTTATTCAAAAAAATATTTTAGCTATCAAGATCAATTATAAGATCTATAACAAAGAGCTTCTTTTAATTGTAAATTAATTTAAAGAATAGCACCATTATGTGAAAGGTGATTATAATCTTGTGATTTTTTTATACATATCATAAGGACCTGAAGTATTTTATATTAATATATATAATTAAAATCATTGAAAAGCTTATTAGAACATGTTTTCATCAAAAATTATATTCAATATCACTGATTGGTGAAAAAAACATGAAGAATTTTTTGATGTACTTCTTATGTATTCTTGTTATGCGCTAAAAGAAAGAAATGCATCTTTTAATAATAATAAATTATTCTTTTGAATTATTTTCATCTTTGAATAATTAAATCCACATTGGATGTTA